GTGAATTAATGATATTTAACGGAAAAGTTAAATGGATAATCATATAATTAAGGATAAATTAGAAAAACTTAAAAAAAAAATTAAAAACTGAACAATCTGAACCATTCATTTGATTTAATAATTTGGCGGTCATTTTTTCTACCCAATGTTAATAATTAAAAAAATTCGTTGGTCAAATCCGCTAATATAATCCGCTAACGGCTGATTGTCAAACAAGGACATTGAAATGTAGTTCTCACTTCAATTTGTTGTGTGATTTGAATACTCTCTTTGTCACAAAATCTCTCAAGTAGTTAATATGGTTGGCTTTATTAATTATATTTTTTAATTTTTTCATGGTATTAATAAAATACTTGGTAAATAAATATATAGCATTATTTTGTATTATAACTTTGATATTTAATTAGAAAAATAGTGCACAAAAAAGATAATAGACAATGTAGTGAATATAATCAATTGATGAATTTGAATGTAAAAATTTTTACATTTGAGAAAAATAAAGACAATATAACTAATGAAAATATTTCTCTTAATTAATTTATTGATAATGAATATTTTTTTTTCACTGAATTAAGACATTGTAAGGACAATGTAGCGAATTAATCAATTAATAAATTTGAATATAAAGAATTTTTATATTGTAGAAAAATAAAGACAATATAACTAATACAATTATTTCTCTTATTTAATTTATTGATAATGAATAATTTTTTTTGAATAAAGGCATTGTGGACACATAATTCTAAATTAAAGAAATGCATATCTATAATTTTTTGTTGTAGCTACTAAATTATTATTTATGTAATTTAATAAGAGTAAAATAGAGTACTAATTATGCCAACTTTGATTGGGATGAGATTCGAACCTAAGACCTTTTTTTTTTCTATTGAAATCAATGAGTAAGTTAACGGTGAACTAACGGCAATTCTTAAAATTTTAACGGAATTAGTAACGGTGTGTGGGTATTTTAGTAAATTTTAGTGTAAAATTTAACGGAATTAGTAACCTGAGCCATTCATTTGATTAAAATCTGTAACCGCCATTTTTTCTACCCATTATAGGTCTAACTCTCTTGGACTCTTATTAGTATATATATATATAGTAGATACTAGATATTCTCATATTCATTATTTTTTTCTTCATAATTTAAGTTTAAATTAAAATTTATTGCAGTTGTTGAAAAACATTAAAATTATTTCAGAAATACTAATACTAATAAATAAATAATAAATAAATATCCGTAATAATAATACATTGAAGGGCATCGAAATTGAAGAGCTTCTAAACGAGCCAATTCCATCTTATTCTCTACTTGTGTGTGTTAGCAATGTTATTATTTACATTATTATTTGTATTATTTATGTTGACTAGTCTTTGCATTAGGTTAGTTATTTATGACTTTCCTAGTTAATAGGATTAGTTCACGCTATGTATTTAGAATACTGTTCTGTAAACTCGATCGTGTTGGAATTGAAACTGTGATCCTTATCTCATCTGGTATCTAGCCGGGTCAATTTCTCTCTCCTCTCAATTATTCTCCGATCGTTTTTGATCGACAGCTCCTCCCCAAAACTGCCGGCGATACACTATGTCTACCAATTCATCTGAAAGGACAGTGTCCGTCGGCGATCCTACCCTCCCTAACCCCACCGCAAATTCCCTATCAGGTGCACACCATTTTGTCTCCATCAAGTTGACGTATCGCAACTTTTTGTTTTGGCGAACGCAACTGGTGCCTTTCCTCCGTGGCCAAGAACTTCTTGGTTACGTCGACGGCGAGACTCCATGCCCACCGCCGACCATCCCAGCTGCTCTGGTCTCCGACGGGTCCACGTCCGCTGCAACCACTGCTGCGCCCGTTCCAAATCCTGAGTACTGTGCGTGGGTCAAGCAGGACCAGGCGCTTCTCTCCTTGCTGATTTCGTCGCTTTCCGATGAAGTCATGCACTTGGCTGTCGGGAAGACTACATCACGCGCCGTTTGGGAATCCATAGGCGCTGCGCTCGGGAGCTCGACACGGGCGAGATGCCTCAGCTTACTCGGCCAATTCCATTCCCTCCGGCAAGGGAACAGTACTGCGGCCGAGTACTTGGGACGTGCGCAGCTACTGGTGGAAGATCTAGCGCATGTCGGTCGCCCCATCTCCCTGGACGAACAGAATCTGTTCGTGTTCCGCGGTCTGCGTCCAGAATACCGCGCTATGGCGTCTTCTCTAACGGCAACCGGTACTCCTGTGACGATCCCGCAAATCGCAGACTACCTACGTGCACAGGAGTTCATCTACTCCGACGAGTTTCCGGCCGGGTCTGACACAGGGCTGATGACTCCGCCGACTGCCATGTTTGCTGGACGAGGTCGCCGGGGTGGTGGTGATAATGGCCGAGGCGGCTCCGGCAATGACGGTCGCAATAATCAGAACCGAGGTCGGGGAGGCCGCGGGAATGGAGGGCGTGGAGGACGCGGCGGTGCGCCGCGCTGCCAGATCTGTCGTGCGCAAGGGCACACCGCCCTCTACTGCTATAAGCGGTATGCTCCGCAGCCGCAGCCCCAGGTGAATATGGTGGTCTCCGGCGATGACACGGCGACAGTTTCCTCGGCAGCGTCTGGTTGGTTCCCCGACACCGGAGCCACGACTCATGCAACCCCGGACGCGTCCATGATGTCTCAATCCGATGAGTATACCGGAGGCGACGTTCTTCGCTTGGGTAATGGGACAGGTTTGATAATTTCACGTGTTGGTCATGCTACTATACCATCTGCGTCAAAATTGTTACGTTTGTCAAATGTGTTACATGTTCCGAAGTTGTCTGTACCTTTATTGTCTGTTTATCGCCTTACTAATGATAATAATGTGTTTGTTGAATTTCACAAAAATTACTTTGTTGTGAAGGATACAATCACCAAGGCAGTACTGCTTAAAGGTTCCACGTCGGGTAGCTTATACAAGCTCCCGGTCTCTCAGTCCAATTTCGCTTATATTTCTGCCCGGGCAACTCCCACAATTTGGCATCGTCGCTTGGGACATCCAAATAGTCATGTTCAAAATCGCGTCCTAAAATCATGTCCGGTAGCTTCCAATAAAACCGAGTTGGGGTCGTGTGCTTCGTGTCATCTTGGCAAGGCGTGTAGATTTCCACTAGATAGAGTTATTCATTCTAGTGAAAATGTATTAGACTTGTTATATACAGATATCTGGGGTCCGGCACCTGTAATGTGTGCTAGTGGCTTTAGATATTTCCTATTATTTGTAGATGACTACTCACGTTTCTCCTGGTTTTATCCCTTACGGGTAAAATCAGATGTTTATAAAATTTTTGAGTCTTTTCGTGTCATGGTAGAGCGCCAATTCGGGCATTCTATCAAGTCTATTCAATCGGACCTAGGTGGGGAATATCGCAAATTACATAACATATTCACCCAACTAGGCATAATTCACCGTCAATCGTGTGCCTATACACACGAGCAAAACGGCAAGGTCGAACGCAAAAACCGGCACATTGTTGAAACCGGGTTAGCGTTATTGGCTGAAGGCTCAGTTCCCCAACAGTACTGGGACTTTGCTTTTGAGACAGCCACCTGCCTAATTAATTACTTGTCAACACTAGTCTTACAGTTTGAGAGTCCATACACACGCCTATATAAAACTCTGCCACCATACACTTTCCTTCGGGTCTTTGGGTGCAAGTGTTATCCCTATCTACGGCCTTACAATCAGCACAAGATAGAGTATCGCTCTGCCCCATGTGTCTTCTTAGGTTATCCACCCAGCTTTAGGGGTTATAGATGCATGAACCTAACAAGTGGAAAAATCTATATCTGTCGCCATGTGCGTTTTGACGAGTCAATTTTTCCTTTTTCAGACTCAACATGCACTAATCAAACTCCGGCACCCAAAACAGTTGTCCCGTGGGCCGTTGGGCCACTTGTGACTCACGAGTCACTACTCGGTAATATTAACGAAGTGGTTCATACTCAGTCAAAAAGCCCAACACCATTGGCTCAGGAGTCACCGCCCTTGGCCATAGAAGGGCCGGCTCAGGCTCAAACCGAGCCGCCTCGGGCTCGAATCCGGAAGCCCCGAGCATAGGGGTGTTAGCGAACAGAGCTTTCGGCAAACTACTCGTGTTCGTGTTCGATAAGCGTTCGCTTATGTTCGTTTGTTAAGGTAAACGAACATTAACAAACAAAATTTAGAGCTCGGTTAATAAATGAACAGAGTTTGAACAGTTGTAAGCTCGTTTGCTAAGAGATCGTGAACAAGCTCGTTTGTGTTCGTTTACTAATGTTCGTGAACAAGCTCGTTTATGTTCATTTAATAATGTTCGTGAACAAGCTCGTTTGTGTTCGTTTAATAATGGTCGCGAACATGTTCACAAACATATATTATATTATATTATATTAGTTTTGTAGTTGTGTTGTTTGTTTGATTATTGTTCGTGAACGTATATTATTTATTGTTCACGAACGAATTATGATCATGAACATGTGCAGGTTTGTTTATTAAGTATTCATGAACTTAAATGAATATGTTCGTGAACATGCTTGTTAATGGACATGTTTGTGAACGTGTTTGTTAACGTTAACGAACACGTTTGCGAACGTGTTCACGAACGTTAACAAACACGTTCGCGAACATGTTCGTTAACGTTAACGAACACATTCGCGAACATGTTCGTTAACGTTAACGAACACGTTCGTGAACATGTTCGCGAACGTTAACAAACACTAACGAACGCTTAACAAACGAACACGAACAGGATTTTCAAAAAGCTTAACAAACGAACACTCCAAATTCCTTAACAAACGAAGACGAACAACCTCCGTTCGTTTATGTTCGGTTCGTTAACAGCCCTACCCGAGCACAGATTCAAGAACGAGCGCATGTTATGCGGCTAAGACATCAGACCCAGGGCACTGATGAGCAATTTCAGGCGTTGAACGTGACTGTTGATCCAACCTGTTACTCACAGGCAGTAGGGCATCCGTAGTGACGGGATGCTATGGATCAAGAGTTTAATGCTCTTATACATAACGACACTTGGAAGCTTGTACCGGCTGAACCACACATGAATGTGGTAGGTTGCAAATGGGTGTTCCGCACCAAGCGGAATGCTAATGGCTCGGTTGAGCGCTACAAGGCACGACTTGTGGCTAAGGGGTTTAACCAAGTAGCCGGTGAAGACTTCTTTGATACTTTCAGTCCCGTGGTCAAACCGACCACCGTTCGCCCGTTGTTTTCTCTTGTCGTGTCCCGCAACTGGACTATGCGACAGCTCGATGTTCACAATGCCTTTTTAAATTGGCATTTAGCTGAGACGGTTTACATGAAGTAGCCACCGAGGTATGAAGAACCGACACACCCAGATCATGTGTGTCATCTTTAACGGTCGCTTTACGGACTTAAACAAGCCCCCCGGGCTTGGTTTAAGCGCTTACATGACTTTTTAATTTCTGCAGGTTTTTTATCCTCCAAAACAGACGTATCCCTGTTTCACTACTCTACTGGTACATCGCGCGTGTATTTGTTTGTTTATGTCGATGAAATAATCATGATGGGGAACGACTCTGTGCTTATCTCCCAATTACTGCAGCGTCTGTCCGCTACTTTCAAAATCCGTGATCTTGGAGCGCCTAGTTTCTTTCTAGGGATCGAGACCTTGAAAGATAAGTCAGGGCTTCTTCTATCTCAGGAATGCTATATGAAAGACATTCTCAACCGTGCCGGTATGACGGATTGCAAGCCTCTGGCAACTCCCGCTACTGTTACTCAGCCAGTGACTCCGTCGGATGAACCGTTTGACAACCCGACGCAGTATCGGCGTCTAGTCGGGGCGCTTCAGTACCTAACTATCACGCGCCCTGATCTATCCTTTTCTGTCAATAGACTGTGTCAGTTTATGCATTCGCCAACCAGTGATCATTGGGGTTTGTTGAAGCATGTGCTACGGTACATCAAAGGCACCATCTCGTACGGTTTGCGTCTCTCCGCTTCTGCTTCGTCCACTATTCACGGATTCTCGGACTCAGACTGGGCTGGTTGTCCGATCGACAAGAAGAGTACTAGCGGGTATGCTGTGTTCCTGGGTGACAATCTCATCTCTTGGCTATCTCGGAAACAGCGCACGGTTGCCCGGTCCTCGACTGAAGCTGAGTATAAGGCCCTCGCCGATGTGTCAGCTGAGGTCACCTGGATTGTGTCTCTTCTTCGTGAGCTTGGGCTTCACACGGGTGAGCCATCCACAATCTGGTGCGATAACCTGGGTGCTACCTATCTTTGTGCCAACCCAGTGTTTCATGCTAGGACCAAACATGTGGAGATTGACTTTCACTTTGTTCGAGACATGGTGGCTTCGGGTGACTTGATTGTTAATTTTGTTTCGACGAAGGATCAGCTTGCGGACATATTTACTAAGCCATTACCAGGGCCCCGCTTTGCAGCTCTACGTGACAAGCTCAACATTGTTGCCCACCACTCTTGATCTTGAGGGGGTGTGTTAGCAATGTTATTATTTACATTATTATTTGTATTATTTATGTTGACTAGTCTTTGCATTAGGTTAGTTATTTATGGCTTTCCTAGTTAATAGGATTAGTTCACGCTATGTATTTAGAATACTGTTCTGTAATCTCGATCGTGTTGGAATTGAAACTGTGATCCTTATCTCATCGTGTGCAAGTCATCATCTAATGTCTCTTTTTAACTAGCGGGATGAAAAAATTTCAGGGTCCGTTTATTAACAGAAAATTGTTTTCTGATTTCTGTTTTTTAATTTTTCAGTTTTCATTCTCTGTTTTCTGTTTAGAAAACTTGTTTACTAACATAAAACTGTTCTATGATTTATGTTTTCTAATTTTTCAGTTTTCACCTAAAATTTATTTTAAATAATATTAATATTTTTTGAACTAATATTTAAAATATTTTTTTGGCTATATTCATTTGAATGACATGTATATGAATATATAACTTTTTACTTTGAATTCTAATATATGTGAGACTTCAATGAATGTAATCATAGTAATGTGGTTATAGTGACATATAACTTAATAGATATAGCTGATTCTGTTTTTCATTTCGAAAACAGTTTTTAAGTGTGTTCCAGTTTTCCAAAAATTTCCAGAAATTATTTTCAGTTTTCAAAATGGAAAACTGTATTAGTAAACATGTTTTTTGTTTCCTATTTTTAAGTTTCAGAAATTTCCAGTTAGTAAACGGTCCCTCAAGTTTCTCAAATCTATAGGTTGTCCTATTTTATTTCTAGTAGGATTTATTTACACAACTCAAATTTTTCTACTTCTATATATACTAATATACATATATTTTGAGAAATCTAGAAATTAACCCCATCAAAATATATAGAATTGAGTCTACGTGCAAATAGAAAAATTGTAACTCTTTAAACATAATTTTAATTAAAAAGGGGGATTATATTGAGGGACCAAAAAATCTTATTGAGTTTAACTAGTAGACTAATTTTTTTTTTTTAAAATATTGTGGCAATGAGTTGGCCGGATTAATTTAAATGCCACATGAAATACTTTTAGAGAAAATTTCAATTTTGGTCATATGGCTATAGAGGTTTTGTTAATTTCAGCATCTGACATTTAAAAGTGTCAATTTAGTACCTTGACTATTCAATTTTTATTAATTTTGGTCACTCCGGTCAAATTGCTTGCCAAATTTCGCCGAAAAATTTTAACAGTTAAAATAATGAGGGTATTTTAGTCATTTCACATATCTTCCTTCTTCTCCGGCGAATTCATTTTTTCCAGCGAATCCGTCGTAGCAGCACACCTTCCAAAGCATACTTAAACTCATTCGTTCAAGCCATCGCCGGCAATTTATTAGGTTTCAGATGACCAAAATTTCGATTGAAAACATCTGACCGTTTGTGTAAGGGGAGCTTGAGATATCGGCGGACCTAGAAATCTCCGAACTGCACTTCTCTTTGTGCTCGTCCAGCACACCTCCTGCCAAAATTTCGATGAAAGCTTTTCCGGCCAAAAAAAGGCTTGCTCGAAGAAGAAAGCGAAATGCTAAAACTGATGCTGGTGCCTATTTATTCAAACTTCTCTATATCAACATTACGCTAAAATTGATGTTGAATAAATACTTCTCTTTTTGGATAATGGTGAATAAATACTTCTCTGATCTTTTTGGATAATGTTGAAAGCATCGCAGCGCACCTCATCCTCGGATTTGCCGAAAAAGATGAATTCGCCGGAGAAGAAGGAAAGAGATGTGAAATGACTAAAATACCCTCATTATTTTAACTGTTAAAATTTTCCGGCGAAATTTGGCCGGCAATTTGACCGGAGTGACTAAAATTGATAAAAATTACATAGTCAAGGTACTAAATAGACACTTTTGAAAGTCAGGTGCTGAAATTAACAAAGTCCCTATAGTCATATGACCAAAATTAAAATTTTCTCAATAATTTTAGTAATAAAGTTATATATATATATATATATATATATATATATATATATATATATATATATATATATATATATATATATATATATATATATATATATATATATATATAAATTTGGCCTTGGAAGCTTATAAATTAGTTGTGGCAAGTCTTTAGTGTAGGAGTGGTGAGAGGCCCTTAAGTTTGAAGTTCAAACTTAATAATATAATTATTTTTTCTTAAAATTTACCTTATCTAATTATCTTAATTATATAAATGTACAAAGAAAATAAAATAGCTATTTTGAATTATCTATTTTTGTAATTTTGTATATTATTATATAAACTAAAGTTTTATCTTAATTTTATACTATAACTAGGTTTCAAATATTGAAGGATTTTTTTTTTTTTTTTTTACTGAAAGTGATATTTCGAAGTGTTGATAAAGAAAATTAAATGACATTTTAAAACCATGAAAATGAATCATAGACCATTGTAAAATAAAGGAAAATAATATTGAATTAGTACATTGACACCAATAAATTTGAATGATGGTTCCTTCCATTCTGATTGAAGTGAACATAAAAAATTTATGTAAGAATATTAAATTTGTGAAGAGTTTGCACACATAACAAATTGTTTTTTTTTTTGGGAGTAAATATTCAAAATGGTCCCTCGACTATAGCTAAATTCACAAATTGGTCATCGACTTTTAATTTTAACCAATTAAGTCCTTAACTTTGTAATTTTAACACAATTTGGTCCTCTGTTTATTTGACCGTTTGTTGACTGTGATTTTTGAGGATATATATGTAATTTCATGGTCCATCATCGGTTTTTTAAGGTTCCAGTTGCACTTTCATACCGCACTGTTACATTCGAATCCACTGTCGAAAGCAATCTACCAAATCCGGTCGCCTTTCTTCATCCTCCCTTTGGATTCAATGTAGTTGAGTTCGTACCAGCGCGAAGAAGACGACGTGTTTCCAAACTGGTGCAACGTCATCCTGGAGGCCTCCACGTGCTCCGACGAGAGCTGAAGGTTTTTCTGGAGATCGTCGATCACGGTCAACAAACAGTCAAATAGATGGAGAACCAAATCGTGTCAAAATTACAAAGTTAAGGACTTAATTGGTTGAAATTGAAAGTTGAGGACCAATTTGTGAATTTAGCTATAGTCGAGGGACCATTTTGGGTATTTACTCTTCTTCTTTTTTAAGTACTACTGACTCTGTTACAATGCAGTATCTGTTCATAACTACTTTCTCAACTTACTGAAGCACAAAAAGTCAATACCGCATCCACTGAGACTCGAATCTACAACCTTCCATATGGGAGAGCAACTTCGTGCTAGACCACAAGGTCCTTGACCATAACAAATTGGTTTTGTTATATACACACTACATACATATGTTAAAAACTAATAACTCTGCTCAATATGATTATGTCAATATTTACATGTGACTTTTTATTTAAAATGATAACAGTAATACCATCCTATCATAAGGTACTTGGCATCTTGTGTTGGATTTAGTAATTGATTTGTTAGGCTTTGTTGACTGAGGTTTAATGCTTTTGATATCTCAATCGCAATTTTTCAAATCAACCAAATTAAATTCAGGTCAAAATGTCTAAACTACTTTTACTCCCACCAAACTTTATTTAACCCTTCTTTATACGAGGGTAGCTAAGATAATTTTACTGAATTTAATCTATTTTAAAATCAAAGCAAAAAATGATAATCAAAATAACATTGATACACCAAAACTAGAATTAATTGGATCTCTCCCATTTTTTATGCAAAGGTTTATTGGTTGCTGGGGTTGGTGTCATATAATCCGCCCAAATCCATTGAACTTATAATAATGTAGCATGCATGCCAAGGTAGCGTCATTCTTCCACCAGAAAAAGCCCAAAGAATTAATATCATTAATTACCCTCGAAAAGATGACTAAATGGAAAAATAATGATTCTCGTACTTACAAGTTTAACTTTTACCAACAATCTCTTAGTCGAACCTGTTACATAAAATCTGATCTTTTTGTATAATTTGTAAATTATATATTACACAGAAAAAAAAAATTATTTAGTGTACACTCTTAAATAATACTGAAAGGAGCGGTGTTCTCTCGCCAAAAAAAAAAAAAAAAAAAAAAAAAAAAAAAAATCATTAATTCTTAATTAATTTCTAAGTTAGGAGCGGTACAAAGTGTCAAAATCCGTCTTGTGCATTCAATCTAAGCAGACGAAGACTAAGACTTGAATGAATAAAAAACCATCACCATCACTCAGATAGTGTCATTGTAGCTATCATCAAAGTAATCATTACTCATATGCATTAATAATCAAACACCACACCCTTTTTCTTTCTCATTCTACTTTCATATCACATCATAATATATGGTAGCTAGCTAGCTTTTGTGTATGTATTGCAATCTCATCATTTTCTGGCTTTTAAGATTTCATTAATTTAATCAAATCTATTTAGTAACTTAAAATACTTTTTAAAAGTAGCTTAATGTGTCATTATTCGATAAGATTGAATGAGTCTTTTCCTACCAGATTTTATGCTAATAAATACAAATGCATGTGTATTATTCTACACACTTTTTCATTGCTTTGATTGAACTTAAAAAATATTTTTTTAAAACAAAAAATTAGTGAACCATAATTTTTTTTTTAAAGTGTACATTAATTTTGTAACCTCCTTACAAATTTTAAAAAACTGTTAGGGCAACTCCCAATAAGTTGGTCACTGTTGACTTGATAAACACAATATTATAAGTTTGCGGCATTCTTGGTTTGAAACGCTCAGTTAGGTTAGTTTACTTTCTTGTTGTCTTTTACCGATTATAATCACAATGTCGAATTTATCCAAAAAAAAAAGTCACAAATTAAAGGGGAGGAAGTAACATAAAAAGATGAACAATGAAATAAAAGAAAATGAAAAAGAAAAGGACAATATGGAAGATTTCAATTCAATGTGGGGATTGCGCATGCAGCCTTACTAGAAAATGTAGTCTTATTCTGATCTGTATACGCAGCCCTTGTTATCTAGTTAAAAGATTTGGTGGCTATTCCTTTTGGTGGTTTAGCATATTTTAATCCAAAACCTGCACGTGAAAGATTACATCTTTAATTCCGTTGATAAAACTTATTTATTTATTAATTAATCATCATATAACTAAGGTTATAACTTAAATATTTAATAAATTAAGTATCATATATTATTTTTTTGGGTGAAAAGTATCATATATTATATTGAATATAATAATAATTAAACATATTGTAGCTTGTAATGGGTTCCGAATCACCAATTCATGACTATTAAACTTTTAGCACCTATACGTTTCTAAATATAGTATAAAATTAAAAAAATTTAGATTTATCATATGAGTAAAATTTAAAACATTGCATACTCTATATAAATATCTAGAACATGGTCTTGGGCGAAAGACGTTGACTATTACATAAGTGTTATATATATATATATATATATATATATATATATATATATATATATATATATATATATATATATATATATATATATACGCGTTCATATAAGAATCATGCAGTGAGAACATGTAAGCTAAATGATTGCACTACAAATATTCTACAAATGGATTGCGTTACATACTCCAGTGTTGTCACGTTTTCAGGATTGCGTTACATACTCCAGTGTTGTCATGTTTTCACCTGAGATATTGGGTGTACTGTTCTCTTGCATCTTCAAAAAATAATACTATGTTCACTTTTTAAAGTTATTATCTACTTTTACTTTTTTTCGTGTTTCATTATTATATTGAATTTTTTTTGTTTAGAATTATTAATTAAGTATTATATAAAAAGAAATTTAACTCCAAGAAGGTTATGTGGATTTATCAATATTCAATGAATATAAATTAAGAATTTTTAGTGCAACATTAAGAAGGAAAAACAGGGAGTGATTTTAAAGAATAAAAAAATATTATTTTAAAAAAATAAAACCAACTCAAAACAAAACCCTTAAATACAATCGTTATACTCTGCACCAAGGCGCGCGCAGCACTGTGCGCCCCGCCTCCCAAAACGACGTCGTTTACTTTATGTCCCAACTGGATGATTCTAGTCGGAATTTTATGTCCCAACTGGATTGTTACAAAACGAGCCCATAAGATTATGTATACTTATTTCACCCCATAAGATTATGTAAGATTATGTATACTTATTTCACCCCATAAGATTATGTATACTTATTTCACCTCCTCAACGGGCGGTGAAGATTTACTTAATTATATGACTATGATTATATCTTTAAAATCTTTTCTAAAATTCAATATAATCATATGATTTCTATAATATTTTATAAGATTTATTTTGTTTTTTTTTTTTTAGAATTATTACTTTAGTATTATATATTAAAAAAAAAAAAAAAAAAAAAACTTCTAGAGGTTACGTGGATTTATTAATATTCAATGAATATAAATTAAGATCGAATTTTTATTTTTTTAATGCAATGTTAAGAAGGAAAATAGGAAGTGATTTTAGAGAATAAAAAAAAATTATTTAATAAAATAAAACCAAATCTAAACAAACCCTTAAATATGTTCACTCTCGTAACCACCAAACCAAAAAGAATTAACAAAAAAATCGACAAAATCTTGAAGATCTGCAATGTGGAAATTAGTTATGTGACCTCAGGTCCTCAGGGCGTGATAGATTCACAAAAGAGTCCCTTATATATACAATCACTATATGATTGCTCCCTTGTCAAAAACCACTAACTCTCTCAACTCCCCGCCCTCTTGCTCTCAATCTCTACATTATATTATTATAATTATATATATTATATCATTCACCTCCGCTCCGTTCCCATTTCCTTAGCCCCCTCCGTCGATTTCGATCTTTTCCTCAAAAATCTCTGCACTGTTATGCTATTTATTCTCTAGCTTATTTGAAGTCAACTCTTCTTCAATTCCTAACAACAAGATAAGTGAAGTAACAAGAAGATAAGAGAAGTGAAGAGAGAAGTAACAAGAAGTGAAGAGAATGGGTGAGAAAGGAGAAGCAGCTTTATGCAGTACTGATCAGGTTGAATTTTATGTTAAGTTTTTTGGTTTGGTTTTTGTGGGTTTTCTGGGTTGGTTAGTTCATAATAGAATGAATGAATGGTGTTGTTGCAGGAGGAGGAGAGACCTGCTTTAGGGTTGAAACTAAAGAAGTCTCCATCTTTTATCAATGAAATTGAAAGAAAGTTATCCCAACCATGGAACAATAATGATGACGATGGTGCAGCTGAAAACCACCCACCACCACCTCAGATGAATTCTAGTACGGATTTTATGTCTCAGCCAATGTCCGAGAAGCTCAAGGCTTCCAACTTCTCAGCTGCCATGTTAAGAATTGGAGAGTTTGAGGTAATGTATATATGTCTACAATTCAGCGAGTAAGGTAAAGTAATTAGTCACTGTATTCAGCGATGGGTATACACCAGAAATATATATTATATTTTAATTTATTTGAATTGGGTTTTGATTTGTGTGCAGAGGGTTTCTAGACATGAGAGTGATTTGGTGGCGAAATTATACTATGCGAAGCGCAAATTGGTTTGGGAATTCTTGGAAGGGCCATTGAAGAAGAAGATTGAGATACAATGGTCAGACATTGGGGCAATGAGAGCCACCATTGAAGATGGTCAACCAGGACTCTGGGAGATTGAGGTAATTCATTTATTAATACAACATTTTCCTAATTAAATCTTTTCATTTATTTCTATATATGATATATTATTATTATTATTATATTTGTACATGTGTGCAGCTGAACCAACCTCCCTTGTTTTTTCATGAGACCAATCCCCAACCTCGAAAACACACTCTTTGGCAGCCTGTGGGTGACTTTACAAATGGTCAAGCTTCTCGAGTTAGGTAATCTTAAAATATTTTTAATTAGTCCTGTAAATAACTAATTAAATTAAATTAAAGTCATTAATTAATTTCCAATTAAATCAAAATTATTATTATTAATATATAGTTGATTGTGTGTCAGGAGGCATTTGGTGAAATTCCCTCGAGGAGTGCTGGATAAGCACTACGAGAAACTGTTGCAATGTGATCCACGCTTACACATGTTGAGCCAACAGCCATTTCCCATCCAAAATCCCAACATGTTTTTCGTCCACCAACCGACCAATTCTTCGTACGAGGTTTCCGATTTGTGTCTTGATTTCCAACGCCACTCCATGCCAAATATCCTCACACACCCAAACCCATATCATCATCATCATCATCATCTAACTTTCCCAGCTGCTACTGCTTCACATATGAATATGAATATTATTCCTCACCATCAAAACAACAACTACAACTGGCTCTTACACGCAACCATGTTGCCGCCTCCCAACAATATCGTCCTCAATGAAGCTCAATCCTCGTTAGCTGACCACACTTTGGTTTACCCAACACATGAATATCCTATGAACAACCATCATCATCATATGATTGATAATCACCAAGTTCTAAGTTATAACAGCCATCAGACGATGGTGGTGGGCAATTCAGTCGTCCCGGGTGGTGGTAATAACAACTTCGGTGGTGGTAATAACAACTTCGACGACCCTAACATGGATGCATTGAGGAGTTTCTACCACCGTAACAATTTCCAAAATAATAATAATAATAATGTTGTTGTGTCTAATGGGCTGCAGGCCATGGAGACTACTCATAATCATCATCACTACGTGGCACAAGGGGGGACACTATATCATGGAAGTAGTCCTAATAATTGGGTGTCGTCTTCTCATCATCACTTTACAAATGGAGACCATTCGCCAGCAGCAGTAGCAGCAGCTTGTTCCACCGGGGATTCGGCATCGCCAAATGCAAGGATGTATCCAAATCAAGATTATTTTAGACGACATGATACTCAGGATTGATTTTACGTACGTACGTGTTTTAATTTCATGCATGCATATATGCATGTCCTAGCTTAGATTAGATTAGCTTAGCTTAGCTTAGCTTGCCAATATCTTTCTTTGATGGAAGAAATATTGACAGGAAATCATGTAAATACTATTTGAAGTTGTTATATATATCTCGGTTTCCCTCACTGCATGCATGCGTTGCGTTCACTCTGATCTATTGTTGATAAAATATTTAAAATTCACGTTCCTTCACATCTTTTTTATGTAAACTCTACTGAAAATTCCTGTTTTCCAATCCGGTCTCTTATTAGCTTCTTTGTTCTGACCAATTAAAAAATTAATCTAATCAAGCTAGTTTTAATTGATTGGACAAAAAAATTTAAGTTTTACCATGTAATTCGATCTCCAAACTTATCTTTAATTAATTTATTATTATATATCAAGCTAAGGTTGGATATATATGAATTGTTATACTTGTTTACAAAAGTCACCCTTCAAATTAAAATATAATACATACAATGTGCTGAGGAAGGGACAAGCTAAGCTCTGATCTCATTCATGCTAGCTAGTTAAGTTCTTGGGGCTTCAGAAGCTCAGATCTGATCTAGGCCATCCACCTTCAATTCCGGCAAATCTTGTGAAGCAAAAATAATTAATGATCAATGAGTAGATGTTAACCGGTTCCATGCAGTTCCCTAAAATAGCATAACATTTAGGATGGTTTGATCTTTGTCTAAACCAGGTGATGTAAGCAGGGTTGATCACCTTTTGAGGAGCATCAGAGAACTGTGGAGGAGCCTGGGTTGTGCCATCAATATACCCCAACAGACTCAAGCCAATGAGAGAAGCTTGAATTTGTTTCTCCAAACTTGGGAGTTGGATGATGTTAATTTGATGAGAAAATTACTAAGAGCATTGATTTGAATAACATAGGTGTCTGGCGAAGAAGCCGTGATGGCCAAAACAGCTACAGGTAAAAAAAAAATAGTCCTCACTACATAGGACTGTACTCTTTAATTTATACCATAACAAATTGAAGCATATATTTCATCAACAGATTTATAGCCATGCATACAACTGAATCACCAAACTCTACGTAGTAATTAATAGACTTATTCTAGTCCTACAAATTGGGAGGAACCAGTCAAACTAGGACTTATTGTAGTCTTACAAATTAAGAGGAACCAGTCCACACAGCAGACCAAAATATGTTTATTCCTTCTTATTATATTCCTTTCATCGATCACTTCAAAAGTTCAAATGGTGCAAGTAGAAAATGAAGCTCTACATACATCTCAAAGTTGAAGATGAACTTGAAGCTATTTTTTTTTTTGGTTGTCCAAAGGTATCCCTCCAGCCAAAAGCCAGAAGACATCACAACGGTCAGCACACTAAGTGGTAGAGGACTGGCCAAATGGGATCCAGAAGCTATTTGATGAAGTGCTCAAAAGTGTATATATATATATATATATATATATATATATATATATATATATATATATATATATTCAAAGTTGTTTGAATCTTTTGCTCCTCAACTCTTTAAATAGAACGACCCATGCATCATGATGTTCATAATAGAGTTAACGAGTTCGCAAGTTGGTAGTAGAAAAAGAAATACACGAGTATTCAAGCCATATATTAAAGCAATCTAAGCTTCAAATAAATGATCAAATTGTCTAAATTCTATCCAACTGTGTTCTAAAACAAAAACACATTCGTTAGACAATCTTCACTTAAGGAAACTTTGTGGACAACCCATGGAGTTAATTAGATGATTGGGCAATAAATAATGTGCAACTTTGTGAAAAAAGAGGCTCCAAGCTAGGATTGTTAAAGGAGAAGAGCAAGTAACATAGTTAGCTTGTTTTGCAAAAGCTAGTGTGAAAAGTTAACTTTCACTTTTATTTTTATTAATACTAATGAAGCCCCCATCTCCCCCCTATTGTTTGTACTCTGTGTAGAAAGATTGAGTCATATAATTGATAAGTATGTTAATGCAGGTACTTGGAGAGGGATTAGAATTTCTAGGCAGGGACCTAATCTTTCCCATCTCTGTTTTTGCAGATGACATGGTGTTGTTTGGAGATAATATCGGAAGATGGCTGAAAGGTTTTGTCCAAATTTCAATGAGCAAATTCTCAATTAATTAACAGACTATAAGGATATTGCCATCGCAACCCTATAAAATATGTACGGTTATTCATTGACTAATTTACTATTTTGGTACTAAGTAAATTAGTTTCATCACGGATTAAATTAATTTACGGATATTGGTTTCATCACCAAGTATCATAGTAGTTTTATTTCTTGATCAGTGCATGTAGATAAAGAATTTATAATTTATTGGTGTAAAGATGTCTGTATTTTGGTTTCATCAGGAATCAAAGTAGTTTATTTCTTAAAATTAAAATCCTAACAAACTTATGGCCCTTAGATGTTGACACTTAGAGAAGAAGTGGCATGTATTTCGATTTTATTAGGTATCAGAGTAGTTTTATTTCTTAAAATTAAAACACTAACAAATTTAGTGGCCCTTAGATGTTGACCTTAGGGGTATCAAAGTGTGCTAAAACACGTAGATCAATCTGCACCAGGCCTTGCGGTAAGATCAATCATTATTGTGTGGACCATATTAATAAATAATTTACATTCAATACACAAATAATGTATTTTTAGTATATTAAAAATGTACATTATATTTAGGAAAAATATATTATTTTATAGGCTAAAGTATCATCCAACACCATGAACTATATCCAATTATTCATCCGGCATCCTGAACTTTCATATCATACATATTGAGCCACGTACTATTAATTTTTTTCGTCTAGCATTTTTTATAGGTTTCATACCGGTAACAATATGCTGACATGGAATTTTTTTTTTCTTTTTTTTGTAAAAAGCTGCCCCAAAACCCACCATTCTGACACCGTTCTCTCCGGCCATTGCGATTTTTTTTTAATTTTTTATTTATTATTGCATTTGACAATTTCTGGGGCCGGCGGTGGAAGTGTATTATGATTTTCTGGGTATTGAAGTTCTGTTCGTGTATTTTCTTTGTTGTTTTCACAATAGGTTTGTCACCAAACATGATATTGCTTTACCCTCCAACAGGATTAGAAACTTTGACAACATGGAGCTTGGTTTGGGACACTCGGCGTAGACTCTTTCTATCCCTCTCTAACAAAATCATCTCTTCTCTTTCACACTGCTTATCACCTTCATTAAAGCAGTTGTAAACAACTCGTGCCAAACGGGAAAAAAACACATCACTCATGCCTCTCCCTGATTTACCATAAAACCACTTGAAAGCTTCTCCAGAAATGCAAAATCGCCTGGCTTTATCGCTCAAACCACCCACCACTCTCGCTATGAAGCAAATGAATTGAGCTCCGGCTCCGGACTGTCAAAAAAAACAAAGTTTTATTTCAAGACAAATCAAAAAAATATTCACTGACGGGGAGACGAGGCCGTTAAAAAATGAGAGTCATCTGGCTCCATATCCATGAATGATGAAGGTCCTGAAATCTGTCATTGCAAAAATGAAGACCCAGTGCTGTATCTCAACATTTCCAAAATGACAGACTACATAAAAGATGGCCATCCTTCCATTTTCAAGCAATCTAAGAGACAAATTAAAGGCTACCCGGGATGACTCAGGACTGCAGCCTCACATGTTTTTCATTTTATTGAATGAAGTAAATGAAATGACAAATACTATAATTTTTTTTTTTCAAAATCAATTTCTCAAACTCATAATCAATATTACTCAAATTGCCATTAGCTCCAGATTCTCATTCTCACGGTAAGCAGAAAATGTATTGCTCTCATTCATCTCCTTCAATTTATACCCTGAACAAGGTTTCCGTTTGTTCAGGCTCTGAACTTCCTCATTAGTGATCTGACCTCCAAAGAGCATCTTACCAAATCCGTTAGAAGGCTGATGAGAAGTACGGGAGGCGGAGCGAGAAGCGTTGCCGGCAAATGACGAGTCGGATGTCTCAAGTTGACTTTTTTTTTTTAAAGTAAAACTATTACATGGCTGCCACATCATCTAAGAAACACATCAAATAAGCAAAAATAAACACCTCATCAACTAATAACCTGTGCCATGTCATCATAGTAACTTGAGAACCTGTAAAAAATGCTAGACGAAAAAAATTCAATGGTAAGTGGCTCAATATGTACGATATGAAAGTTCAGGGTGCGGGATGAATAATCGGATATAGTTCGGGGTGTGGAATGACACTTTAGCCTATTTTGTATAATGTACATTCAGTACACGAATAATGTACTTTTAATATATTAAAAACATATTTTTTGTTAGGTCTACACTACACTGTATGGACCATGGTCCATACTATAATTTGTCGTAGTGCAATAGTTAAGGCCACAAAAAAAAATTGACCACAAAAACGCGGGCTACGCTAGTAGGCCTTTTAAAAATTATTTTAAAAAAAAAAAACATGACCCTAGAGCAGTAGAGCCTAGAGATTTAACTATTTAAAACTGCTTCATACTTAAACTTAAGGATCAAAAATCATGGATTGTTATGCTGTGCATCTGTATGCACCATGCATAGTGCATACAGATGCAAAAACGACGTCGTTTTGACGTCTAACTTTATTATTATTATTATTATTATTATTATTATTATTATTATTATTATTATTATTATTATTATTATTATTATTATTATTTTGAGATGAAGGAGATTCGCAACAATGAAGAATGACCAGGGATCGAGTCTCACCAGCGGCAGTATGAGAGCAACCTCTCAAAGTGAGGGGGGCTCCTTGTGCGCAGTGAGCACCGGTCTAGCCTCTGTGGTTCATGTTCAGTTGAGTCACCATGATTTACATCCTCCTAAATGCTCTGTCGAGCCGGGGTGTGGGGAGCCCTTAGGGTTGGGGTTCAGCCTTTTGGAAGAACAATATTGCTATTTTATTATGGGATGCTACATGCCTACATCATGATTATGCTAATAATTTTATTTCAAAATGTTACTTTTTTTGAAGATAAAATGTTAAATTTAAATATGTAAACAAACTAATTTAAATTTTATGAAGATGTTTTTTTTTTTTTTTTGTCTTTTTACATTTATCATCTTATCAAAAAGCTAATTTTACCAAACACTTTCAAGCATAACAGCTAGCTTAACAACTCTTCAATTTTCAGCTCC